TCGGAGCCCGGGGCCGGCTCCGCGAGCGCAGGGCCGCGTCGGGAGGGGTGTAGAGAGAGGGCGTGTGCGGGGCTCCCGGCTCCTCCTGGTCGCTAGGTGGATTGCTAATCGCGCCTTCCAGCCTGGTATTTGAGCCAGGCTCCTCACACTGGGTCGCCAGCCCATTCCACAGATGAAGAAACTGACTCTCCCAGATCCCAACTCACCCAGGTCATATCCTGCAGGTCTCAGGATGAACATTGCCTTCATATCAGCTAACATAAATGCTTATAGTTACGGAGACCGTAAACAGGCATTCTGTGAGTGCCGGAGGTCTCCAGTGGAACACTTATTGCTTTCAAAAGGAAACCCTCTGGTGTCTGGTGGGCCTACAATGTCAGCTGCTCAGGAGGATCGCAAGTTGAAGGCCAGCCTAGGTAGAGCACTCACCTAGCATGTGCAAGTCCCGGGGTTCAACTCTCAGTAACCAACAAAAAACAAAAAAAGGAAACAGCTATTAGAGCCAGTTGTCTTCTGCCCAGTGCCACATCTTAAAACTTTTGAGAAAGTGGAAATCTAGATATTTTAAATGTAAACATTTTTCAATACTCAAAAATTTTAAAATTTGTTTAAAGGCCAAACAAAACATCCATATACGCAGAATTCAGCTCTGTAACCAGCACTGCAAAAATGGAACTTTAAGTCATTTTCCTTTTAAGAGATAAGCAACTTCTCCAAACTTCCTCCTACTGAGCACATAGCTAACTCCCCCTCCTCTCTTCTGCCCAAAAGAAATGACAGATTATGCAGATGACAGCCACAGGAGGCCAGGAGCCTGGTTTCTTTTCCACAAGGGGAAGTTAAATTGAACGTGACTGGAAATGAGAAACCAAGCGTAAAGGTCTGCATTGTCTCTGTTTGATCCTCTTCCCCTCTGTTTAAAAGACCCTCCCCAAGCCAGACATGGTGGCGCAAGCCTGTAGTCCCACCACTCAGGAGGCTGAGGCAGGAGGATCGCTGTGAGTTCTAGACCAGCCTGGGCTTCGTAGTTCCAGGTCAG